AGTAAGCGTTGAAATATATTTACTAATTAATCCATACATATTCTGATGGCCTGTATTTTGTGGACACTCTTTTAGAAAATACATACTTTTTCAAAGACCGACACTTTTGGCGATTCGATGACCGAAAGATGCAGACCAGCGATGGTTACCCGCTGTCTATCGGCCCGTTTTGGTTCAAGTCTTTGCTCTGTCGCGACACATATCCATTTGAGATCACATCCGCCGCTAGTATTAACTTAAACGCCTGGTATTGGATTCAAACGTGTTTAACATTATTGCTGTTGGCTTTCAATTCACTCCTGTTTTACAACACATTTGTATTTTGTATATATTTTTGACGATTGGACCAGAAATGTGTCGAAAGAAATATGTCGATAGAATTTAAAGCAATTTTTCTATTATCCAGTGATTTATATATATTTATTACATGAAAACTCAATTTTCTATTATTCTCTTAGTTTGCATAATATTTTTTCATTACAACAACGATAAGAATATTTGTTTATTTAGAATTTTTCACAATATTTATTATACCATTAAATCAAAACACAAAGTGTTTCCTTACAAACCAACTCAAGAATATTTATACCAGAATTATATTAATATATAAATAGTTTAATATTTTACACAATGTTTTTTTAAATGAACTGAAATTTTAATAATTAAATAAATTTTAATGAAAATAAAACTATTTGTAAATTATTTATGTGGCAATTCAAACACGATGTTTAGTAAATGGCAAAAATATCTTTATGCCAGAATGTGTTTAATTATAAGCCTGTCTGAAACTTACTATAAAAACTATGTCCAAAAGTTATACTTTTAAACCATTTTTTACGACCAGTCATAACGCGTACACTTTACCAAACTGTGTGCTGGTTCTTATGTTTTCCATTAGCATGCTGGTAATTTCTATTACATTATGGTCAAGTAATTTTCCACATTATGAGGTTTATGAAAAAAGTGTTGAAAAATAATGGAGCCCAAAAATGTAATCTCAATCAATTGAATTTAATCCACATCTAAGGGTTTAGGAAAATACATACAGTGGAAATAACCATGTGTATTTTCCCAAACTCTACCAACATTCTAATGGAGAATATAGGAACCAACACACTATTTGGTAAAGTGTATGCGTTATGACTGGCCCTAAAAAATAGTTTAAAAGTATAACTTTTACGTAATATATAATTTAGTTTTTATTTAAACACATAACAGTGAATATTCTTATAATTTATTGGTTAATGTGTTTTAACTGTCGAGTGTTTTGCAAAGAATTGCAAGTGCTTTAAGTATTGGACCATGGATAAATATTATATCTTATTCGTCAAAAATTATTACTTTATTTAATATTTTTAAATTACAAAAATTAATTCTAACAAAATTATCAAATATATAAATATTATTATCAAATGTATAAATATATCGTGCATTAGATTCGGTCTGAGATTAATTGATTAGAAAGTGATTAACTGTAAAACACATTAATTGGGAGCTCTTCGTTGTCATCGTCGTCGTTGTCGTCATCGGCGGTGTAATCGTCGCAATCCCTGTAATCCTCGTAATCGTAATCATAATAAAGATCTCTTTGTAAATACAATTCATCGACATCTTTGAGTGTCTTGTTTTTCACGTCAAACCGATTGCCGTTATAAACGACTACGAGATCCGCGAATAGATCCCTATCTTCGCTATCGGTAATGGTTTTGACACAGAATCTGAGCGCTTCGGCGGTGACGGCTTCGCATCGATTCAATTGCATGAACTCAAGCGTACGGCAGCCGTCGACCATTGACTCGACGCCCGCGTCGGTCACACCACTGGAACCGCTTATGTCTAAATAGACTAATGATTTCAATTCCGATAGTATTGCCAGAGAGTAGTCCGATATCTATAGAAACAAGAATTTGCGAAATTAATTGTTACTTTCAATGCATTTGTTTCAAGCAATCAATACTTTAGTGTCAGTAATGCATAGTTTGCTTAATTGTGGCAAATGTTGTGGGATTTGAGCGATTGACTGATCGGTGACGCGAGTGTTAAGCGCGAGCAGTAGTTCCCGAAGTTTATGGCACTTCGAGACAATCGCCAGAAGAGTTTCGTCGCTAATGTCTACAAAATTGGAGGAATTCTCAAGAATTTCCAGATTCTCGAGAGAACTGATTAATGAAAAGCCATAAATAGGGTCTGAAAATAGATGGCAAACAAAAATACTATTAGAAATCACTTTATTTCAAACAGTTGTTGATTGATATGTAGAGCCGTTTAACACATACACTCTCATAGACACTGCATATATAAAGTATAGGATGTCTGGGCTCTCAAAGTCAATGTAAATAAATTATGCAAAAAACAGAGACATTTGAGAAAATAGTAAAACAAACAAACCATCAGATGATGGATATGTCGATACACGAAGTGTTGT